AATAAAACTGTCTACCTATGAGAATAAACCCTTTGTTAGGTCGGGCAATTCGAGAACCCAACCTCGATTCACTTCAACTTGGCGTTTATCAGTTTTCTGCTTAAAAACCACAATGAACTTGTTGCTCGACCGACCATTAACCGATAACACTGGGTACCACAAGCCCTGGACCTAAGGAAATTTGAGGATTATATATACCACGAAATTAATAAGAAAATTGCTTGATTTAGGACTTTGAAAACTAGGTTTATATGTACACAAGTAGAATATATTTTGCCTTTGCAAATGTCTTTCGTCTCATAAGAGAAAAGCTGATGTTGAATATCAATTTAAAGGCTTATACAAAGCTTCAGCTTACATACAAATGTTTATGCTAATAATGCACTCTCAATTTCCATTTGTATATTTGAAAATATTTCCAAAGCAAATGCACTTTTTTTTGCTTTTATTTGATTGAAGAGAAGTCTGCAGAGTGAAACCAAATCAATTTCAGAGCTCCTCTGAGCGTTGATCGAATGCATCACTCGATACGGCGACGACGCCCCCTTTTGGGTTCGTGGAACTCCTCCCCAGCTCCTCATTTACAGTTGGCTGAATCTGAATCTTTTATGCAACAGACACAGCAATTGCAACAACAACAAATACAAACAAAAGCGAAAAGAAAATAAAACATACAAATGCGACTAGCAACCGCAGGCAGCATTCGCATTCGTTTTATTTGCCAAAACTGCGTCACGTTGCAACTTTGACGCCACATCTCTCTGCTCTTCAGCTTTTCTGATTTTCTGCTTTTCCACCGCTGCTGAGATTTGCGTAAACAAAATCGGTTTTTTTTATTTTGTATTTCCCTCCCTTCCACCCCTTTTTTTAGCGTTGTGTAACCCCCGCTGTTGTGAGGGGAAAACAAAGAGGGACAAGTGATGTCAAAGCAAAGGTTTTAGCTGGATGTGCACTAGCAGAAATTATTACTAGTTTGTAAATTCGATCAATAAACTATTTATATAAAATCTTTACAAACTAGACACACGGTTTTCCAGTTAGAGAACCCTTTCCAGGGGGTTATTACGGGACTTTTCACATAACCTGTTGCTACTGGAATCATGATAAGCTGGCTGCTGCTGTGGCCACGTGAGCGTTGTGCAAGAGAAATCCTTGCCAGACCCATTTTCGAATCGAGAGGAGGAGCAGAAGCCTAGGGTACTGGGCAACCTTCGATTTGACCTTCGGTGCCTCCGTCGTCGTCGTCGCCGCTGCCTCTGACTTTTGCCTTCGAGGTGACCTCCATTGGCTGCTAGCCGACTTTCCATTTCCATTTCAATTTCGGTTTTTTTTCACTTGGAGCTCGCTTTTTTTTCTTTGCACCATTTTGCATAATTTATTGCATTTAGTTTTCATTTCATTTACTGCTGCCGCTGGCAGAAGTTAGTGCCATAAATTTGTCCACCTTGGTCCACCTCCTCCTGCTCCTGTTCATTCCCTACCATCGCGTGTGTCCCTAATTTCAGCTCTTTGATTACCTCTCACTCTTATACGCCTCGCGGATGACCAGTTTTGTTTTTCCCAGGCACTGACCACGCCCACATGACCCTTCCGGCTCCAGGAATCCACCTTCTTGGTATACGTAATTGGCCTCAGAGTGCGTGGGTTTGACGCCTGCTTCCGCGGAGCGCTATTTTTGTGTCCTGTGCCCCGTGCCCCGGGCCCCGGGCCCCGAGTCCTCTGCTCCCAATCATATCGAATGTCCTTTGACGTAAATTAATTAAGTTATGTGAATGTATACGTGCAGTGGCAACAACAGTAGCAACAGAACGGAAAGCAAGAGGAGTTTGTTATGCTATTGAGCTGGCCGGGCGGGTGGCGGCTACTTAACTGCTTCTATTTTTAGTACCCTAACTACGGGGAAGTCAGTGCAAGTCGAAGTCGAAGAGGATGGATGTGATGGGTCGCCAGATGGCTTCTAGGGAACTCGCCATATGTTATTGCCATGGAGATGTTGTGGAATCACTTAGCTGCACAGGGGGAAATATCGCAAGAGGCCTTCAGAGCCCTTAACTAGGTTTTGTTAAATTATTAAATGGAAATTGGATATTAATTAACATCAGCTAACATCATACAAAAATTAAATGGCATATATTTGGAAGTTTTTTTTTTTGTTGAAGTGAAGTTTATTTTTATATAATAATAATTGGTAAGATTGCTAGGTACTCAAATAATTAAAAACACCTTACATTATTTCATTACATATTTTTAAGCATTTGAATACCCCTTGGAGGGTATTATAATTTTAATCAGAAGCTTATAACGTTCTGAAGGAGTCTTTTCCTTCCATATAAACTAAATATATTCTTGATCAGCATCAACAGGTGAATCTTTCTAAGCATTTGGGAAAGGGAAAATTTGTTGGCCATTTTTCCAAATTTTATTAGAGGTTACATAGTTAAAACTCTCAAAAATTGATAAAATTGTAATTTTTTTACATTTTAAATTGAGTATTTTCCGATCTTTCCTATGGCAGCTATATATATATATATATATATGTATATATATAGTCGACCGATTCGCCATGCTCCGAATTATATACTAGTAAAATTATATTAACGAACAACTCCATGGTTTCATTCAAATAGCTTGCTCTTAAATTTGTACCAAAACAAATCTCGCACATGCATATGATTCCCAATCGGTTCTAACATCCCCGGAACGAAGTGACTCCTGCCGGCCAAGCCTCAGAAATGTGTTGTGTTACAAAAGTTGCAAGTCATTGTTTATTAGTGTTCAAAGTTAGTAAGTGATCATACATATTTGCTGGTCATAGGTACTTACTGTTCATTGATACATACTGGTCACAGATACTCACTGTTCAGAGTTACTTACTGATCATAGATAATTTCTGGTCATAGTTACTTAGTGGTCATAGATACTCTCTGTTCAGGGTTATTTACTACTCATAGTTACTTAAGCACATCTGTGCATATGATTCCCAATCGGTTCTAACATCCCCGGAACGAAGTGACTTCTGCCAGCCAAGTTTCAGAAATGTGTTGTGTTACAAAAGTTGCAAATCATTGTATATTAGTGTTTAAAGTTAGTAACTTAACATACATACTTACTGGTCATAGGTACTTACTGTTCAGAGTTATTTAATGTACATTGATATTTACTGGTCAGAGTTACTTAATATTCATTGATACTTACTGATCAGAGTTACTTACTGCTCATAGTTACTTATTGATTATAGTTAAATTAAATAGCTCTCTGCTCCTCTCTGCCTCTCCCCCTCTCACTCTATGTTAATCTCTAGAGGCAACTGCTTCTCTCCCACGCACTTACACTCACTTTCTCTGCTCTTCTCTGCTCTTCTCTGCTCTGCTCGGGGACTATAAATAGAGGTGCTGAGGTCGCGCGCGCCTCAGTCTGTCCTAGGGGTACCTAGTGTTAACATCTCAAGTGATAGTGATAGTGATCCCCCTTCGATCCCAAAAATATGGCGTGGTACATCTGGATGACTAAGAAGAAACTCACTTTGGATGAAGTCACCATTCTTGGTCAATGTAAACAATGACGAAAGAGAATAGCCACGTGTCCTTTACGGTAGTAGTAGTAGTTCTAGACTTGCTTGTTCAAACATCCCCGGAACGAAGTGACTGCTGCCAGCCAAGTCTCAGAAATGTGTTGTATTGCTAAAGTTGCAAGTCATTGTTTATTAGTGTTCAAATTTAGTTAGTTAGTAGTCATAGGTACTTACTGGTCCTACATACTTACTATTCATAGTTACTTAATGGTCATAGGTACTTACTGGTCCTAGATACTTACTGTTCAGAGTTACTTACTGCTGATCAAAGTTGCTTAATGTTCATAGCTAATTACTGATCAGAGTTACTTAATGTTCATTGATTCTTACTGGTCATAGTTCTACTAAAAGAATGGTATTATAATTTTAGCCGGAACCTTATAATTCCGTGAAGGAGTCATTTCCGACCCTATAATCCATATATATTCTTGATCAGCGTCAATAGGCGCATCTTTCTAGGCATGTAGGAAAGGGAAATTTAGTTTAAAATCGATAAAAATTTGAAATTTTCTACAGTTTAAATTGAGTATGCAGATTTGTTAACCTAGAAAAAACTAACATGGGAACGCTTTCCAAATTAATATTGATGCCTAGCTTAGTTATATGTGTTTTACACTCTAAAACGGTTATAAAAGTTGTCATAGAAAAATGTGACTAAATATCGGCTATTATTTTAAGCTTAGGTATGATCGATTTTCGATTCAATCCTAAATTTCAAATGGAAACTTAAGGTATATATAAAAGTTTTGTTTCTTTTTTAAACAGATTTAAAATCCTTGACGATTTCCTTAATAATTCCCTATTATAAGATACTCCCCACATTATTTCAATAGATTTTATTAAGTTAAAGAGCTCCTTGAGCTCCAGTACCTTCCTCATTGTCTGGCCCGGTGTCTGCTCCGTCTTCCGTACCTCATCAGTCACTCCCCTGTGCCTGTCCCTGTCCCTGTTCCGCCACCTTTCCCTGCCTTGCATCCGTTTACTTAGTCACCAGTCCATTATTTTGTTGGCCAATTTCCCCCCATAACGTTTGCTGCTTTTGGGCGCTTTCTTCGCCGACGCTTTGTTGGGGGCGTTGACAAGGCGCAAATGCCGCTGATGATGAGCGTGCAGAGACAGATAAAGATTCTATATATTAGCTTTATTTGTGCATATGAGTGGCTGTGGCGGAATAAAAACAGGGAACTGCGTTCAGTTGCATTTCAACGACCAAGTTGGCGGGAATTGCCTGAAAGAGGTGAAAACACGGCATAAGGAAATTTTACACGCCACAAAGAAGCGGAAGAAAAGCAGATACACGGAAAACAATGATCTCCTTGGTGTTAAGAAGAATACTTAAAAAAGGTAGAGCATATCCCATTTTATACACTTTTTTACAGCAAAATTTAACTCTGATCCTTGACTGATGTGTGACTCGTGACTCTTTTAGATTGCGATTGCGGCTGCGTGGACTCTTACAATTACAACCACGGCCCGCAGGAGTCGTCAGCAGCATCAGCAACAGCGGGCGCGGCGGCAGGATCTGGAGGATCGAGAGCTGGAGTGGGAGCGGGAGCGGGATCAGGACCAGACGCGATCAGCTTCAAGACGGCGCACACAAAGGTCGCCACCTCGGGGGGCCATGCCAATACGCAGCCCCCCAGCAAGAGGTCCAGCAGTGGAGCGGATGGCGACTACCAGCTTGTCCAGCACGAGGTCCTTTACTCCCTCTCGGCAGAGTATGAGGTGGGTTCGATTAGTTCTCTTCGGCTTGAACGTGCAAAGCTAAACCTAAACCTTCTTTCTCTTTAGGTGCTGGAGTTCTTGGGCCGCGGCACCTTTGGCCAGGTGGTCAAGTGCTGGAAGCGCGGCACCTCCGAAATCGTGGCTATTAAGATCCTGAAGAACCATCCCTCGTATGCGCGTCAGGGCCAGATCGAGGTCTCGATCCTCTCGCGTCTCAGCCAGGAGAATGCCGACGAGTTCAACTTTGTGCGGGCCTTCGAGTGCTTCCAGCACAAGAACCACACCTGCCTGGTGTTTGAGATGCTCGAGCAAAACCTTTACGACTTTCTCAAGCAGAACAAGTTCTCGCCGCTGCCCCTCAAGTACATAAGGCCCATCCTGGAGCAGGTGAGTGTCATACATTATCTCTTCATTGTGGCCATAATATTTATCCTTGTATCCTTGTATCCAGGTATTGACGGCCCTGTTGAAACTGAAGCAACTGGGTCTGATCCATGCCGATCTGAAGCCAGAGAACATCATGCTGGTGGACCCAGTGCGACAACCATACCGCGTCAAGGTGATAGACTTCGGCAGTGCCTCTCATGTCAGCAAGACGGTGTGCAACACGTACCTGCAGTCGCGCTACTATCGTGCCCCCGAGATCATCCTGGGCCTGCCCTTCTGCGAGGCAATCGACATGTGGTCGCTAGGCTGTGTGGTGGCGGAGCTCTTTCTCGGCTGGCCCCTGTATCCGGGCAGCTCGGAGTTCGACCAGATCCGCTACATTTCGCAGACGCAGGGTCTGCCCACGGAGCACATGCTGAACAGCGCCTCGAAGACGTCCAAGTTCTTTTACCGCGACGTCGACTCCACGTATCCCTTCTGGCGGCTAAAGACCACCGAGGAGCACGAGGCGGAGACGAACACGAAGAGCAAGGAGGCCCGCAAGTACATTTTCAACTGTCTGGACGACATTGGCCAGGTGAATGTGCCCACGGACCTGGAGGGCGGTCAGCTGCTTGCGGAGAAGACGGACCGCCGCGAGTTCATTGATCTGCTGAAGCGAATGCTGACCATCGACCAGGAGCGTCGTCTGACACCCGCCGAGGCGCTTAATCACTCGTTTACGCGTCTGACCCATTTGGTGGACTATGTGTACTGCAACAATGTCAAGGCCTCGGTCCAGATGATGGAGGTGTGCCGCCGGGGCGATTTCCACACGTAAGTGTCCCAAAGTAATCCTTCATGTGGCTCTTATAATCATTATCCTTTGATTTCCTCCGCAGTGTGCAGCCCGCTTCGACTCTGGTGACAAACTTTGTGCCCTCGAGCACCGAAAACATGACGTTCACGATCAACAACCAGCTGACCAGCCAGGTGCAGCGTCTTGTGCGCGATGGACGTCCCTTGGCCTACGAGGGCTTGTACCAGATCTACAACGGACGCAGCGTGGCCAGGCAGTACCCTCAGGCGCGGACGGATAGCTTCCAGCATCAGCTTGTGTCGAACATTTTGTGCCCGCCCTCTTACCAGGCCATGCCCAGTCCGACCAAGCATGTGGTGGTGGGCAGTGCCACCATGCAGCCCCCGTTGCAGGTGCCGCCGCAGCAGTATGTCAATGTGCCGGTGCCGGTATCCATGGTGGAGCCCACATCTGGGCAGAGGATGTTGCTGACGAACCGGGTGCAGGCGAGCGGTGTTGCCTGGCCGCAAACTGGCAGGCAGATGGCCTTGGTGCCTTCGTGGCCACAGCAGGCGCCCGCCCACTCGCTTATCGTGGACTCTACGCCGCTGTTCAACGTGGAGGAGATCTACCCGAAGCATCACCTCAACTTGCCACGCAACGATCTCAAGAAGGAGTCGCCGGCTCACCATCTAGCGTGAGTGCTCAACCTGGAATTGCTTCCACAATTTACCAATTTAATCCGTTTCCTCTCTTATCCAGTAAGGGAAACTCTTATCGCGCGCCGCGGCACGAGAAGAAGGAGCACCAGCAGCTGTCGCCGGTGAAGAAGCGGGTGAAGGAGAGCTCACCGCCGCATCAGCAGCGCTACCAGCGCACCACCCACGTCTCGCCGCAGTATCACGCGCACCACAACTGCAGCTATGGCAACGGAGGAGGTGGTGGTGGCTACAGCGCCAATGCGGGATCGGTGGTGGCCTCCTCGGCTACCTCCGCCAGCAGTGAGTGCACAATGAATGGAATATCAATATATATCCCTTGTATTCTAGCCTATATCCATTCATCTTATTTTCCCTCTTCCTTTCGCAGACATTGTGAACGTCGGTTCGTCGAGCTCGCACCATCACCATGCCCCGGTGGCCCATGCCCAGCCTAGCTACAGCAGCTCCTCCTCGTCGGCTCATCATATTGTAAGCAACTGCAACGCGAACGGAGGTGGAGGCTACCCACAGCCGCCGGTACATGCCCACCAACAGCATTCGCATACGACGCAGCCCCATCCCCAACAGAATCCCGGCCAGCATTTGCAGCAACACCAGCCGCTGCCGCAGCATGTGAAGCAGCCGACGATCACCATTCACGATACGCCCTCGCCCACGGCCGTGATTACGATCTCCGACAGTGAGGACGAGGGCGGTGATGGACTTGGAGTGGGAGGAGTGGGCCAGGTGCCGGTGGTCAAGCAGAGGGCGCATGCCCAGTCGCAGACAAGCAGCAGTCTTCTGCAGCAGCAGCACGCGCCCAGCTCCAGCTCTTCGTGCAGCAGAAGCAGCGCCCATCAGCAGCCGCAGCATCCGCAACACCAGCAGCAGCAGCAGCAGCAGATAACTTATGGTAATGCCCAGACCCAGAGCCACCAGAGCCACCTGGGACCCAGCAGCAAGGGTAGCCAGCATAGCAGTAGCCATAGCAGTAACAGTAGCCACAGTAGCAGTAGTCACCACCACCACCCTCATCATCTGAATCCGTCTCATCAATTGAATCCGCCTCATCAGCCAACGAGTGGAAGTGGAATAGGATTAGCGGGAGCGGGAGCGGGAACTGGCACGGGATCGGCAGCGGGATCGGGAACGCAGCTTCAGCAACAGCTCCAGCCACAGTCGCAGCCGCAGCCGCAGTCTCATACTCAGCCGGCGACGCATCCTCATTACCATGCCACGTCCTCCTCCTCCTCATCCACTTCTGCTTCTACTTCCAGTCACCATCATCAGCATCACCCCCATCACCCAACCGGTTCCTCCTCCATGTCCTCATCCACTCAGTTTGGTGCCCCCGTCCCTGTCCTCTGCCCCAGTCTCTCCTCCCAATCTCAGTCGCATCTCAGTCGCCATAAGCAATCGCAGCACGTCCAGCTAGTAATTCCATGCGTAACCGTAGGTGACCACGATCCGGAAGATGCTCGCCGTCGTCATCACGCCGCCGCCGCAGCCGCCGTGGGAAGTCCAAAGCACCATCATACTCATCACCAGCACCAACAGCAGCCGGCCCCGCAGCAACCAGCTCCTCCGCCGCAGCAGCAGCAGCATCAATACCAGCCGCAGCAGCAGCCTCCACCGCAGCAGGTACAGCCCAGCATCAAGTACGAGCCCGGTCAGTCGCAGAAGAAGCGTATCCTGGCCATGGCCCAGAGCGAGTGTGGCTACCAGCCGCAGCTGCCCAGCCAGCCGCCGTCCTCCGCCAGTCTGCCGCACATTCCCACGAAGCAGGAGCCGGCCGAGTTTTATCCAGAGTACGCAGCAGCAGCCCCTCCGCCGCCACAGCAACAACAGCTGGACACAAAGCGCTCTTCCTGGGCGCCTACCTCCTCGACGAGTGGCGTGGCTGCTCCTCCCTTAGCCCATCCAAAGAGGGAGGCCCCATCGGCGGCTCCCATCAGCTATGTGGCCCCGTCGGTGGCCCCACCGCTGGCTCACTCCAAGAGCAGCTCCGCCTCATCGTCGTCGTCGATTACCGCGGCGGCTGCAGCAGCGGCTGCTGCAGCTGCGGCAGCGGCGGCCAGCGTGGGTCCACCTTCGTGGGGAGCTCCGCAGGTTTACCGGCAGCCATCGCAACCGCCGCCGGGCAGCGTGGCGCTCAGTGTGGGAGCTCAGCCGCCGCCGGTGGCTCCGCATCCGCACCATCCACACAGTCACAGCAGCCATCATCATCACCAGGCGGGCACACCGTTGGGCGGATCTCCGTCTTCAACAGCGGCGGCTGCCTTGCTGCAGCCGGATATCTACGGCCAAGGAGACATTTACCGCCGCCCCACGGTCTTTGTGTCGCAGGCGGCGCCTAGCTATGCGTACGCCAATAGGGCAGTGGTGGCCCCACCGCCGGCCCATAACAGCTCCAGTCGTCAGGTGAGCCTGAATCCCCCATTGAAAGGGGCTTTTAATATACATATAATTATATATTTATATATTACTTGTCATACCTCCAGGTGATACCATCGCACCCGCTACCGGCGCACATCCAGATACCCACCCAGTACAGCCAGTTTGGACCGCTCAGTCCTGCCCAGGTAGCTGCCAGCAAGCACGCGGCGCACTTTGCGCCCACCAACATATGGTATGGGGCTGAGTAGGCTGAGACCGAAATGGGAGAGAAGAGGGGCGACGGGACGAGAGGAAAACCAAGAACCTGAACCACCCAAGCACACGCACCACACCACCACCACCCACCCAAGTTGTTCTAATCTTGAGCTAGAGAGCCCGGGTGACTGATTCAACGCTCGAGTGAGTCGAAAATGCCGGGATGCCGAGCCGAAATTGTAGCTTCTCTGTTTGAGGCCGGAAGCCAATGTGGTGTACTAACGAAAGGTCTTTCTTTTCCGTATTTTGCCTTCACAGATCGTTTGTGGCCTCGGCCGAGGGAGTTGACCAACCACCAGAGCACAGCCAAGAACTGCAGCAGCTCCAACTGACCCAGTGCTGGTGGTTTATGCTGCTCATGCAGCAGACCATCATCCACAACACCAGTATGCTGAGCAGCGACAATGCAACAACAGCAGCAGCAACAGCCGCAGCAACAGCAACACACACAGCCACAGCAGCAACATCCTCGTCCTCCTGCTCCTCCTCCTCCTCCTCCTTCGGAAGCAACAATAGGGCACACCGGCCACATTGAGTAGATGTTCTAGGAACCCCAAACCCCATCCCTACATAGACAGCACTCGTCCCGCCAGTTCTCAGTTTGTTTTTTTTTTTGTTTTTGCCGAGAAATCCTGTTTCGTTGGATTTCTCAGGGATTGTATATTAAGTAGTCACTCTTTCTTCACGACTATTAATTTTATTATCTTTTTTTTTATAAATAATATTAATAAATGTACAGCGCTGTTACACGCAACTGGGTGTAAAGTGCTCAGCCTAAACATTTTGTGAGTTGTGTGCAACTAAACACAACCAGACACTCTCCCACACACACACCTATTGAGAGCTATAGCTTCACTTTCTATATATTATATGTGCCAATCTAAAGGCATATATTCAAGTTGTTTTTCAAGCGTTTCATCTTAAAATGTGTGTTGTGTGTACTTTTATTGATAACTTCTACATAATATTCTCTATATACCACACACATAATATATATTATATACATGCATATATGTTATACTTACTATTATTAAATACTATATATCGAAAGAAGAGCAAAACTAAAGTAAGGCTAACACGAGCACGTAAGAGAAAGCTTAGAAATTCCTTAGACTCTTGGCAAGTACCTCAGCAAAATCGAAAGAATCAATAGAAAATCGATGGGCAGTCGTAAGACTCGATGGAAAATCGATGGAATACCTATACAATTGATAGGAAATCAATGGAAAGTTTAAATAATCAATAGGAATTCAATGAAAAATCTAAATAATCGATGCGAAATTGATAGAAAATCGATATATTAACAGCAAAACAGGCGAAACATCAAAAACTAGAAAGGAACACACATGAATGTTATGCAATTTGCCTTTCACACAAAACAAAATGATGTAACGAGATGAATATAAAGACGAAGAAATTAAGATGTAAAGATACAAGATGAAGATGAAGAGAAAGTTGGAGTTGAGAAGAAGGAAAGAATTCGTAGAAACCACAAAAACAAATTGAATACCGCGAAAACCTTACTAGCAAACAAAAAGCAACTAATAATAGGTAACAAACACACCCTAGGAGATATCAACAAAGTAAAGCTAACATAACCATTACATAGATCATAGCTCATAGATATATATAAATATATATATTTAGAAGGGAAGATCCCAGAGAAGCATCGTCAAAGTTTTTTACACACTCGTAACCCACACCACACACTCATAGGAATAACCGCGAAATAAATACAAAATATAACGTACGGAATACAATTAACAAATAACGATTCTAAATTATGTTAACGAGCAACAAACAAATAATTATAGGAACAAACTTGTACATAAATGCATAAATATTGATACTAGAGAGGAGCATAGTCCTCGATCGAAGAGGAGGTCAAAGAGAGTTTCCCAACTAAAGGCCAAATCAAGCCAACTCAGCTTGGTTAGCCTGCCGTTATAGTTTTAGATCCCCACATATGTATGTTTTTTCGCCTTTTAGGTATGCTTTCGAGTAGAGGGAAACGGTTGGGAAAGTTTACTAAAGTACAAAAACCAAACAACAAAATAAGAAAGCAATCTAGCAGTAACACGGCAAGAGTAAACCTTTTAAACTTTTACATATTTCCCCTTCTCGATTACAACACGCAAAAACCTTTAATTAATTCAAATACCCCTTGGCCGTTGCTTTTGTGTAAATAGGGAATGAAAATTTGATATGTACAAACCTGGCTTACTTTACACACACGCCCATTAGATCCTATACCCAATATATTTATAAAGTACACTATTAATATAAACTAAATCTTGTTAAATAGGTTTCCTAAAGTATTTCGTAGTTAGTCTTAAACTTAAACTTGTCGCAGAAACTAATTTCTTTCGTTCCCTTAGAGGGTGGCACTTCCTAATATAAACAAAAACAAAAACCAGATACTGATACCGATAACTGATACCCACACGTGGACGGGAGTGGATCATAGCATATAATTATTGTGATGTAGTTTTTAACAAGCAAAGGGAAATCGTTTTTTGGCAGATTAGAAATTACCTAAACCTTTAAATAAATAATTATATACATAAAGCTAACCAATTGCGATACTGGCATCTAAATACGTTAACTAAAAAGCAGTTTTTTTAATATTAACATAAACATAACTTTTTAACAAAAGTATGGAAGGGCAAATGGAGAAGGAACATACCCAATTTTTGCAGTAGGGAAAAACAAGAAAGGAATAAAAAAGAAAATAAGGGAAAGCATTAGACGTAATTAAGAAAACGTTAGTGTTGTGAATATATACGAGTAAAAAAAGCAAGCCAACATACATACATATATGTATGGCTAGGGCTAGAACTAGAGCTAGATCTAGGTGTGGTTCGAGTACATTTATATTATGGATATATATATTTTTTGTGTATAAACAATAAAAACGGAAACCAGCAACAATTAACAGCAGATTAACAATGGCAGTTTTAAGGACTCTTGTTTAAACTCAGTCTAGATAATAGAAAATAGACGTAGACGTTTTTTTATAGAAATTTTATGGACCATTCAACTAAAGTATATATATACTAAAAATAAGCATGGATATTTTGAATAAAAACAATTGTGTCAGCGGAAATAAGTTTTTCAATCTGTGTTTCCGATTTGTTTTCTTGCTAACTTTCAATTATATATTAAAATACAACAAATAAATGTACATGTCTTATTGCTAAACTTTTCTTCACTTTCTAACGAAGCGAGAAAGCAACCAGCATAAACGAAAGGAAACAAAAAATAAGGAAAAAAAACAAATCAAGAACGCTTTAAATGTAACAAAAACGAAACGTTAATAGACTTATGACAAACAACAAACAAACAAATTAAATTAATATTAAACAAATTACATTTATATATTTAAAGAAAAACAAATTACAACTTATATTAAAAAAACAAACTCGCACTCAATACGTCAGAGGGAGAGCTAGAAATCCACACAAAACACTCAAATATACGTATATATTTAATGGAGAAAAGCGTTTTAACTGTGTAGCCTTAATATTTGTACTCGTCGTCCTATCGATTTTCAAAAACAAAGCATAAGATTGTCTCGTGTATTACGATAAATACGATAGGATAACAATAAGTAGAGCCACAGCTAATACTGATGCAGATCGGTGTTTGCTACCATATATATATTTCTTATGTACTTTCGGATGAGTTGCCTTTACTTTACTATTTTTTAACACCCTTAGTTTTACCATTTACACTTACTCTTTATTTACTTTCGTGTTTGTCTTTTTATAATTGTAAAACCATTTAATATATAACGGAACACAACATAAATCATATAAATATTGCTTACAATTACAAAGATTTATAAATGCATATATGCTTATACTTACTTATGTCCTACAACAAATATATATATTATAAACAGATATATCTTAACGCAATTTTTTGTTTGTTTTCATTTCGTTTCTCCTTACTTTCCATTATATGCCTGATTTTTTAATAAAGAAAGTTTATCAAAAGACAGGCGAAGATGAACAACAACAAATACAACATATATCCCACCAAATTACAAAGGAGTAAATAATTTTAAAGTTTAAATACAATTAGTGAATGAACATGAATAATAATCGGAGAGAAAGCATACTCTTTGTCGACGTCGATACTTAGCCGTCAGTCAACAGTTTTAGTTTAAGTTTAGTGTGCGAAAAGAGGCTAGCTTCGACTAATTTAGACTTAGTTAAAGACCAACCAGGTTTCTGCAGATTATAGATTGATTTCGCAAATACCCCCAGACACTCTTAGAACAAGGGCAACATAAGGAATAAGATGTGACGTATGGCGTTACGTATCTTAGTCGTTATATTGCCTTTGCCTTACACCACGAACCTCCAACCTCGAACACCCCCCACGAAGACGACCAACAATTGATGAGCTTTTACCGGAAATTAATGATATTTTGTTTTGCATTTACCAAAACAGAGCCAGCGAGAGTCGTGTCGTCGTCATAAAGTCAGAGTTAGAGCCCAAACCGGAAGCCGAACCCAGATTGAACAATGGGAATATTATTACAGAGGTGTTGACACAACAAGATTGATAAGAACCCGTCCATAATTAGATTTCTTTCATTTGCGCTGGACATGAGAAGATCGAGATCCAGGCAATAATTATAGCAGGGGGCCCCCTCTCAAACCTAACAACATTCGAACTTAGCTTAATGATATCGGATAACGGATAAACGGAACCTAGTAGTCCAGTAATTATTACTTACGATATTGACATAATCTTCGTGTTTCTTCTTCACTTGAAGAACTTTCTCCAAACTCTCTCTCTCTCTCTAAAGAACTCTCTTAACTAAAATTGTGGTTCGGATTGAAAAATTAGATGTTTTAAAACACACACACAAACACACAGATAAATCTATGAATATATATATAAATATACATATATGTATATGCGGATATATTTTATTAAATACGAAATTATTTCCTAAATAATGAATAAGAAATGAAACGATAACCGAAATGTTGATGTGTGAAATTTATAAGACTAGCATATTTCCTACCTAAAGAAAAACAAAACCAAATAATAAACGTTATATTATATATACACGAAATATGATAAATAGCAGCTAGAGCTGAGATCGTACTCATAGACATACATATACACGTGTAGGCATATTAAGCTCTATCCAACGGAAAAGATATTGAATTTAAAAGATCGTACCTTTTTGCTGATTTGAAAACAAGCGAGAAATGGGAAAGCGGATGTATTACGAAAGTCAGAGGGCAGCGATTCCAACAGATATTTCTTGTAGTCATTATTGGGTGATGCAAACGTAATCGAAACAATATATGTTTTAGTAGATCCAGAGCAGAGAGCACTTTTATGAGATTTGCTTTTTATATACGACATATAAGATACATATATAGGGTATAGAGGTTACACACTCTTAAGCGAGGCAAGCCGCAGTTTCAGATTAAAGAATTTAAATATTTTTATATACGACTCGAGTAGAGAGACTACAGATACGTATATCCGTATACACAGGTGTATGTATAGCGAACATAGCGAGGTCAGGCCAAATAGAGGCCAGGCTTTGAAGGAGGTGAACCAAAGGAGGATAATCAAAACACAGCGCACACACAGAGACACACCCAACATTAGACCAGACACATGATATCCCATGAACACCGCTAGAATATAGGGTTTGTTTTCGTGGGCACCAAGTCATATTCATTCGACCCCTAGCACCCGTAGGCACCTACTGACCTACCAACCTACCTAAGATTACGATTACGATTACGACGAATCCCCGACCTCAAGGGATCCCTGGGTTAGACAACAACGAATTGCCGGGCAAGTGGAACCTGAGAGACTCCTGTCCCAAGAATGCAACCCGCAACAAATTAATGTTTTCGATCGCCAACGAAGAGACCTTTGACCCGTAGTCTAGACGTGAACTCATCTAGATAATTGTTGTCAAAGTCAGCTCACCAACCAATGATTTAACACCAAAAAATCTCACTTGAGAGCTACTCACCAACATCAGACACTTTAAACACAACAACTTCACTATGATCACCAAGAAATCTAGTCTACATCAAAAGACTCACCATTGATTTATCAAAAAAAAGCAAACAAAACCACAATTCTATAATTAAATCATACAAAACTTTATTCCAAACTACGTAAATACTCACAAACACTCGACCACACCAATCGTAATTAATCTACTTTTTGTATTCTACTCGTATCTCTATGAATGTGTACTGAGTGTTTTTACATGGTGTCCTCTCTTATTTAGTCGTAAGGATATCCGATATCGAAATCGAAGTCGCAGGTTGATGGTTAATTAATGCGAAAGTGTGAAGCGGAAATAGAATTCAAACTTATATCAAAAACCAAGCACACCGATACATTTAGCATTGTACTTGATAAGAGCTAATGGATACTAGCGTATAATCGTATGCGAATCAAAATATTGAATATATAAATATATATCCTCCATGTCGTAATCGGATATGCGTACCTTTTCGAGGGGCCCCAGACAAAGCCCAGAGATTGGGAGGCCAGCTAATTTATCAAATACAATTAATAGTAGCCATAGGGTATAATTGAATTGTCTCGAGACCAAAAAAGAAATACTCAAAACCAATCGATGTAATTGAAACAATGAGCCGCAACGTTTGTATTTATGTATAGAGCTCCCTCCCTAACCAAACAGATAAACCCATAACAATCGAGTTCCGATTTCACCAGAGTTAGGCAGCAATTAGGCTAAGGTAACGGTAATGATACCGATAAAGATTAACTCGAGTTGCGCCAACTTAGTGGCAATGTAAACGCATCTAGGTAATTGATAGATATGAATAAGAACTTTTGACTTTTATGGCTGTTTAGAGATTTTATAATACGTCTATATCGATATAGAACTATATATACATACAAACATGAGATACATAAGCCCGGCATTTTCGTAAATTATTTACATACTCAAAGACACATAGACACGCCCGACGACACTTTGTCCCACGGGAGGATACCCACGATTCCCCGCTGATTTTCGGCTAGTTCTGGCTTGATCCTTGGCAAGTACCCCTCCCATCGTATCCGCAGTCCCTCTCCGGGGCCACCGGGATGGTCCCTCTTGGTAGCGAATAGAGAAAACAAATCGAACATTGTGAAATTTAGTGTCTTTACACTTTAAAGAGAATATATACAAATGCGGATTAAGGAAGAAATGTGAATGTAGAACGCCTATAGCTAAGCATCACTCACACACTCGACACACACACACAAATTATGATAAATGGTAAATCTAAACATACTCTCGTATATATGCCTAAAAGGATAACGTGTAGTAATCTACAGCCACCACAAACAATTACAAATAAATGTCTATATATGCATACTTATGTGTATGGATCGAACGAGATTAATTACACGCGATAGGTGTACGTCATTATATACTTGAATGTATTTGTGTATATGGAAACAAGCGCTATCAAAGTAAACAAAATTATAAAAAACAAAACCAACAGAACAAAAGAAAAAAAACAAAAAGAAAATAAACAAAAAAAAAAAGATTAACAAATAACAAATACAAAACACAAAATTATCAAAAGAAAATGGAAAAGCGTCTTTTATTCGAATTATTTTCTTTCTCAGGTCGAGTTAAGGGGACTCAAATTAATACATTTCCGAATTCTTGCAGGGTATTTTAATTCCAGTCAGAATCTTATAACTCAGGACACAGACATTTCTGGTCCTATAACCCATATATATTCTTGATCAGCATCAAGAGGAGCAGGAAAGGAAAAATTTTTTGGTCATTTTTACATCGTTAAAATTTTCCAATTTCGATTTGTTTTTTTCTACTTTTTAATTATTTTCCGATCTTTCCTATGACAGCTATATATATATGTATATATATATATATATATATATATATATATATATATATATATATATATATATATATCTATATGTATAGTCCACAGATTCGCCATGTTCCGATTTATATACTAGTAAAATTATATATACGAATAACTATATAGTTTCATTCAAATAGCTTGCTCTTAAATTTCTTCCAAAACAAATCTCGGATATGTATATGATTCCCAATCGGTTCTAACATCCCCGGAACGAAGTGATGCCTACCAGCCAAGTCTCAGAAATGTGTTGTGTTACAAAAGTTGCAAGTCATTGTTTATTAGTGTTCAAAGTTAGTAAGTGATCATACATATTTACTGGTCATAGGTACTTACTGGCCATAGATACATACTGTTCAGAGTTACTTACTGCTCAGAGTTACTTAATGATCAGAGTTACTTACCTCTCATAGTTAGTTACTAATCATAGTTTATTAAATATCTTCTAAAAATATGGTATTATAATTTTAGTAGGAAGTATATAACTCCGTAAAGGAGTCATTTCCGACCCTATAGTCCATATATATTCTTGATCAGCATCAACAGGCGAATCTTTCTAGGCATGCAGGAAAGGACATAAATGTTGGCCATTTTTTTCCAAATTTTATCGTTAAAACTGTTTAAAGTTTTAATTTTTCTACAGTTTTAATTGAGTATTTCCCGATCGTTCCTATGACAGCTATATATATGTATATATACAGTCCACCGATTCGCCATGTTCCGACTTATACACTAGTAAAATTATATAGAAGAATAACTCCATGGTTTCATTTAAATAGCTTGCTCTTAAATTTGTTCCAAAACAAATCTCGGACATGTATATGATTCCCAATCGGTTCTAACATCCCCGGAACGAAGTGATGCCTACCAGCCAAGTCTCAGAAATGTGTTGTGTTACAAAAGTTGTAAGTCATTGTTTTTTAGTGTTCAAAGTTAGTAAGTGATCATACATATTTACTGGTCAGGTACTTACTGGTCATAGATACATACTGTTCAGAGTTACTTACTGCTCAGAGTTAATTGCTGATCAAAGTTACTCAATGTTCATAGTTACTTAATGTTCATTGTTACTTACTGATCATAGTTTCTTATTGGTCGTATTAAAATATAAATAAATATCTACTAAAGGAATGGTATTATAATTTTAGTCAGAAGCTTATAACTCTGGAAGGATTCATTTTCGACCCTATAATCCATATATATTCTTGATCAGCATCAACAGGCGAAAAAGAAAAAAACAATACTTAAGTTTCGTAGAATATTCCTTTAGTAATAATCATAGAAGGCCACTGAGTGTGACGGTTGGAGACAACCAAATTCAAATTCCAAAAATCCAATTTGGGCCTTCTCAGATAGACCCGAATAGCTCCCAAGGCTTAGAAGCGAGCAGTGCTGACCGACAAGCGAAATCTAACGCCCTCGAGGAGAACCAATTCTCTAGGACAAAGAAGAGAAGCACGAGTGAGTAACCGAATGGGAGTAAACCTCACATGACACTTCTTCCTTAAGTTCATCATGGGGCAGACGCTGTCCGAGCCGGTGACCACCAAGAACTCGGAGTGCTGCTCCAACAGTGCCTACCGTGTCGGCTCCAGCTGCATGCAGGGCTGGCGTTCGCACATGGAGGACGCGCACACCCACATCCTGGCCCTGCCCGACGACCCGCAGGCGGCCTTCTTCGCCGTTTACGATGGCCATGGTGGCGCTACGGTTGCCAACTTGGCGGGCAAGCATCTGCACAAGTTTGTGACCAAGCGGCCGGAGTACCGGGACAACGCGTTTGAGCTGGCCCTGAAGCGGGCCTTCCTTGACTTTGACCGCGAGATGGAGCACAATGGCTCTTGGGGTGACCAGATGGCTGGCTCCACCGCCGTGGTGGTGCTCATCCGGGAGCGACGCCTCTACTGCGCCAACGCTGGCGACTCGAGAGCCATTGCCTGCGTCGCCGGGGTGGTGCAGGCGCTATCCGTGGACCATAAGCCCAACGACGAGACCGAGATTAAGCGAATTAAGGCCGGTGGCGGCTGGGTGGAGTTCAACCGGGTCAACGGCAGCCTAGCGCTGTCCCGTGCCCTCGGCGATTTCATGTACAAGAAGAATAGGGAGAAGCAGCCCGAGGAGCAGATAGTCACCGCGGATCCGGACGTGGAGGTCCGCGACATCACCGACGACTGGGAGTTCGTGCTGCTGGCCTGCGACGGCATCTGGGATGTGATGACAAGCGTCGAGGTGGGCCAATTCGTACGCAGTCGCATTTCCGAGGGCCTGCAGCCAGAGGTGATCTGCGAGGAGCTGATGACCAACTGCCTGGCCCCGCGGCTCCAGGAAGTGGGCCTGGGCGGCGACAATATGACTGTGATCTTGGTGTGCCTGCTCCACAACAAGAGCTACGAGGATCTTGTTGTTCGCTGCGGCGGCAAGCGGAAGGTCCCTCCCGTGGAGACCCCCAAGACTATGAGCAGCATCACAGAGCAGCCGACTCTGAAGGTGGTCACGCCCTCAACGTATCCTCACGGAGCACAGAGCACCTCTAGCTCCCGATCGAGCATGAGTTTGGGACTGGGCCTCCAGAAGAGCGATTCTCGCCGGGAGGGTTCCTAACTAATATTCAAGCCACATCGCATTTCCATTAACTCCTTGTTCTCATTACCATGTTTCGGTTCACACATATCCCTGTTTCGGGTTAGGGGATCTGGTTCGACAGCCATCGTCCTCACTAATTTCAGCTTAAATTCTCAGTTAATTTTGTGTGGTTTCTCCTCCTCCTCCTTTACCAAATTGTATCAACAAAAACTACCCAGGCGACTACTTCGAGCTCTTACAGTGTACAATTGATTACCTAGGACGGAATGGAGTCCAAATATAAGGATGTTATAATGAAAGATTTGATTTCTAATTTCTCGGGGATCGGTGGATCTCTCGTTTAATTCGAATAAATGTGCAAATATATAATACATTTTTAGAGCTAAGTATACGTATATATGTATATATATCTTTTGGTGTATATGGTATATAAAGGTATATATGCGTATGCATCTATATAGTATCTTTGGTCCGTTTAGCTGTAGGATCCATTCGTAAGAAGTTGGGACTGAGAGTGCAAAATGCAGTGCGTGTCTGTCTCCCGGTAAGTACATACATGTGTATATGGCTACGAAATAATGGGCGATCTTCGCGAATATGAATATACAGATTCTATATGATATACGTTTGGTGTACATGCTAATTAGTGTTACAGTTATGTCAATTATTGCACCACATGCGGCCGTAAGTGCTTAAAATAACGTCGCGCAAACATGTGCAGATAGCTCGGGTCTCGGATCTCGGGGATCCGGATCCGTCCGCCAAGTATGCGCTGAATTTAATGATAAGACTAGAAATTCTCTCGTTCTGGACCGACTGCCGTGCCGGAAGCAGGAAGCAGTCGGTCCACAGTGCCTTAATGCGTAGTGATTAATGAGGGGTTAGTACAGTCAATGAGTGAGTGAGTCTAGTTGTTGTAAAGCCGTAATGCTAAGGTAGGGAGAACGTGTAAAGTTTGTAGCTTGGCTCTCGATCTCATGATCCTAACCCCAGTGATCATGATCAATGCAAGGGTAAGTGTCGTATCGTATGTGCTATAAAAAAATACTGGTTACATTGGTTTTTTCGCTGTTCTTGGCAAGTCTCTAAGAAGTCTCATTACAACTAAGTGAAGATCATACGATCAATCGGGATCGACCGATCCAACCTTGTGTCTCTACATATATGTATATCTACGGTGTATAACCTCATCTTCTTTGGATTATTCGATTTCCTCTCTGGGTCAGCTCCTCCTCCTAGTCGCTCTGGAATCATCTACTCTCTAAAATGGTACTTTAGCTCTTTTGCATTTTATCACATATTTGTTGACTACAGTAAGAAAGTTGCCTGGGATCGGGTGGGTTCAGTGTGTAGCTTGGATTAGTGGGTCTCCTCCTCCTGCTTCTCTCCTCGAATTCTTGTTCTCTCAGGTGTCTTTTGCCTGGCGTCCTTTTGCCATATATTATGCCACCATGGCGTAGTTCCCAGTCAGCTCAAAGGGACTCGTCTTGGCCGAGTGCGTAAAGTTGTTTTTGGGCGAAAAGTCCACGGGCTGATCCTGGCCAGAGTCGCCAAGAACTCGGGGGACGCCTTCGTTTGTGGGTGTGGTCTGCGGCTGATGATAGTGATAGGGCATGGCCAAGGGCAGGGCCAACGGATGGGGGCCGGGATGCAGCTCCTGATAGAGGCCGTGGATCCGATTCGGTAGCACAGACGAGGAGTGGATCACGCTGAAGGCGGACAAGTCCGGGACACCGGCCGGATAGCCTTGGTAGGCCAGTTCCGCCTGCCGGCGATCCTTCTCCTTCTGTAGCAGCTTGTTGGCCAGGGTGGACTTGGCCGAATCAGGAGCAGCACACTGAAAGAATCGCAAAGTATACAAGTGAGGGGGAGATAATAATAATATTTGTATGTTATGTTTCTTTTCTTACCAGGGCTCTTGATGTTTGGCCGGAGCCAGAAACGACTTCTGCCTCCGACTGCTGGCGCTTGGGCGACGTGGGAGGGCGTGTGCTGTGAGCAGGACTTCCGCCGGAGCCTGGGACAACAGATCCAGACCCTGCGTTGGTTCCAGGACGGTTCTTCATGCAGGAGGACTCCTCGTGCTTGTACAGGTAAGACTTGAGGGCGAAGGCCTTGCCGCAGCGGGCGCAGGTGTGGGGCTTGGTGTTGGAGTGCGTCTGGATGTGGGCGCGCAGGTTGCTCTTATCGGCAAAGGCCTTCTCGCAGACGCTGCACTTGAAGGGTTTCTCGCCGGTGTGGGTACGGATGTGACCCTGGAGGAGCCAGGGCCGCGAGAAGCGCTTGTGACAGAAGTGGCACTCGCAACCTTGGTTATGGGTCCGCACGTGCATGGAGAACGCCGGCATGGACACGTACACCTTCTCGCAGTAGGGACAGTGGCGCGCCTTCTTGTCCATGATTGACCTTTGGGCAAGATGGAGAACGGATTAGGGTCAGATTGGTGTTGTATTATCGGCACTCACCTGTGGGTTTGTCTATGGCGCGCTAGGTTTGAGGATGTGGAATACTTCTTGCCGCACTCGGGGCAGATGTGGTCGTCCTCCAGCAGCGAGGAGGAGCTGAGAGCCTCGCCCTGATCCTGATGACCGTGTTCCAAAGGGTCCCTTCCGGCTCCCAGATGGTCTCCAGGCGCCTGCAGGCAAGAGCTGGAACCGTGGCTGGAGCTGCTGCTGCTGCTGCTGGTGCAGGAGTTCGAGTCGGAGAAGGTGCAGCGACGCAGTTTCCTGCGATCGAACACCTTGTGGCTGTAGTAGTTCGAGTCGTCGTCCGACGAGGCGTAGACGGTAGGCTGCTGACCCTGACCTGCCGGCTTCGCCTCGGCGGTGATCAGCGGACCCGCCGCCACAGTGACCACCGCCAGTTGAGTGAGATTGTACAGCTCCTCGGGTATGGGCGTGGCCTGTTGGTCCTTCGTCATCTTGGCCGGGTTGATGTAGGTGCAGGTGCAAGTGCCTGCAAGAGTCAAGGGAAATTCCGTTATGAAAAAATCATGACTAGTCCCAAAACATTAATGATTGGCCACAACAACCTGCTAAGTGCGTCATTACGTGGCTAAAATAAGCCACGACATCGTCGATGTTTAATATAAACCTATGGCTATATAAATATGTGTGATTCGTAAGAACGTTCATGTAACCCCCGCAAAGATTTTCAGCGGAATCATTCTAGAAGAACATTTGCCGAATTTTCACCATTTACGCTTAAAAGTTCGACCGAAACGTGGGCTCCTTAGCTGATTTCGCCATGACTTTGAGTGTGAACCAAATGCATGAAGCCTTTAATTAAATGATTTCACATTATTTGATGTCATAGCCAAACTCATAATGGCTTTGAAAATCCATAAAATACACCGATAGTCGACAGAACCCCTTTCCAAACGCACCGCTATCCATCTTGCCACCTATATACATATGTACATACTTTTGTATATCTGCCAAGATAGATCATAGATTTTCCCCTCCTGTTCGTGTACGCCATAATTCTCGTTTGTTTATTTGAAAATGCATCAATTTATAATTAAGGACAGAGTCGAGAGGCCACACTTGGACTCGAATGTGAGCCAAAGTCGTCTGCATCATCATCATCATCGCCGAAATCATCGTCAGGGGTTGGATTGAGGGTGACCAGAGACCAGAGACCAGAGGCCGAGTGCCTTGTGCCGAGGTCCACGGGGCGTATGATTAACGTCAGCGGTGCCTGATCCGCCCGGCATTGCATTCTGGCATTCTGGCACTTGTTGGCTCCGCCTCGGTTCGGTGGTCTGCTGGTGATCTAGTGATCCGATGATGCTCCTTTGGCGGTGGCTCTTTGCGTGGTCAAATAAATTGATGTCGAAATGAGTGCGCTTAATTTGTGTGTGTTGTCGTGGCATTGATTAATCTCTCACGTAATTGGCGCAGCCTTAGTCAGGTGGGTTCTGTTTTGGGACCTGGGTGTGTGCTGTGCCAGTGCCCACTGTCTCCACACAGGGAATAATATCGTCCACATTTGTCATTCGTTTCGGCACTTTATCAACGCAGGAATGTTAGTGTCAAGAAATCATGTTTTTACAATGCGTTATATATATAAATCGTAGTATTATAACTATTATTATTATTATTCTTCGTAATGACTCATTCTATTTTGCAGAAATGAAACTGAAATGCGTATATACATTCTCCCTGTATATATTTTGGATCGTTTGTTTATCATGGGAAAGTTTTCTCCTTTGTTTGGCTGCCCCCAAAGATTGTCTAAATAATCGGAGAAGCGAACTCATTCACGAATTCCGGGGGGGTTGGATCAGGGGATCGGTGGTGCCGGCTCCTCCACTCTTGAGGAGGTCATGTGCAATAATGCGGCTGCTGTTTTGGTTTCCATTTTGTTTGTTTCTCTAAGACTCTCGGACTTTGCCTGAGGCCAGCCGCGTGATTTCTTTCGGGGATCGTGTGGTGTGGGTGGTGGTGGTGGTGGTGGTGGTGATAGTGGGCAGCGCCCCCGCCCTGGGATCTCGGCAACCTGTTGCGCATTCTTGGCTGCCAATTCTCGTGTGTTCTGCTCGTGCTCAGCCTCCTCCTCGGGCAGTACATCAAAATGCTGGCGGCAATTAAGCAGAATATCTTAGTATTTCCCGCTGCCAAGGTGTTCGAAGGTGCTCGAGAGTGCTTTTCCATGAAGGAATCGCTTTCGAGGCGAGTGGGTGTGAGCTAATGCCACCGCCAGACGTCCATAATTTGTGTCTTGGCAATTTGCGGCCCATTTATTCGTACATATATACATGTATATAAGACTGTACACCACCTGAAGCTCTGTTCCCAGGTGGTTGCCGCAAACATAGCACACAGTTATTCCGCTCTTCCACCTAATCACGTCATTTCAGTTTCAACAATTTCGATTTCCTTCGAACGCGATATACTGAAAGTTCCCCCAAGTTCTCTCTAGAGAACAATGTGCGTCTGGGAATTTGGGGGGAGAAACAGCTTGCAATTGGACCGATCTCCTCCTGCCATCCTCCGCCATCCGCTCAACATTAACCCGCCCCAGCAGCTCCTCTGCCATATTTCCGATGTCAGAATCCGTTCGAAATGTCGCATGTTTCTGTGACAGGCCGTTAATTAATTATTCCGCCGGCCCCGTGCGATTGCAGATCGGTAATCGCAGATGACAGGACCGACGGAGAGAGTGGATGTGGGTAGCGGGCAGTAGGGAACGGGGAGCGGGGAGCGGGTATCAGGGATCAAAGAGCAGGGAGAGGCAATATGTGCCTAGAAGTCTAATGAAAAACACTTGCAGCCTCCGAAGAACTTTGTACATAGCGGATAATTGGAATATAAATCCCTATAGCTTTAGATTGAGGTACCACTTGAATTCAATTTTTTACTATAAGGTGGAACCTTAAAAATGTTATGTATATCAAGAGATAAATTCCGATATTGCATTTCTTAACAATATTGAAGTTAATTTCTCACTCGTACTAGTTAATATATTCCTCAAGATCTGTTGTACAAATTAAAATTTGGATTTTTATGTATAGTAGAGCTGATTTGCTCAACAAGCACGGATGACTCATCCTGTTGTTGTCTGCTCTCGCACTGACCCAGCCAAGTCTTCGTTCTTGCAATGTGCAGCGAACAATGGCCATTCGCTTGCCATTTTCCATTTTCATTTTCTGCGCAAATGCTGCCTGGCACGGAAACCGTGTCTCCGTGTCCCTGTTCGGGTGCGTATACGGATCCATATTTCTGGGTAGACACCGAGTTCAAAGTCCTGTTAATGTACACAATGCCAAGTGGAGGAGGAGGCGGAGGAAGAAAGAGCGGCGATGGCCAGCAGAGGCACCCGGAGATGGCTTCAGTGGCCTTAACATGCGTCTTTCTTTCGTGTGGGACATCTATAAATACCCATAGGTATACCATGGCCAGGGGGCAAGGAGCGAAGGAGAAGGCAACCGGGCGGATCCCTTGCATAGTTTACATTTTAGTTCAAACTTGAAAACGGGAAAATGCACAATAAACAAATCGGGCGCCAGCCTCAACCTCTGCTCCTGCTTTAGCGAGAGTCAATGCCATCCGCTCAGCACAACCCCGTTCCCTTTCACTACACTGCGAGGAATTTGAGCGTCACATTCTTTATAAAACTTTGGGCTTCAACAAGATAAAATAATTATATAAAAAGAATTTTAAAGATTATTAAAAGTGATAATAATGAATAGATAAAACAACATGATGGGTATTACAACTTAAATCAGAAGCTTATAACTCTGGAAGGAGTCATTTCCGGTCCTATAATCCATATATATTCTTGATCAGCATGTTAACCTAATAAAAATTAACATAGGATAGCTTTCTGTATTAAAATTTGTGCCTATCTGACGTAGTTATGAGTTTTTTTTAAATTTGATTTCTTAAAAAATTTTACTTTAAAAATAAAGATAAATATCTACTAAAAATATGGTATTATAATTCAGTCAGAAGCTTATAACTCTTGAAGGAGTCATTTCCGGTCCGATAATCCATATATATTCTTGATCAGCATCAAAAGGCGAATCTTTCTAGGCATGCAGAAAAGGAAAACATTTTTTGGCCATTTTTTTCCAATTTTTATAAGGGGTTACATCGTTAAAACTTTCAAAAAGTGATAAAAAATTTAATTTTTCTACATTTTTAATTGAGTGTGCAGATTTGTTAACCCAATAAAAACTAGCATAGGAAACCCTTCCGAATTTAAATTAATGAATTTTTGGCTTAGCTATGAGTTGTTTAAGCTTTGCTTTGAGGGAAAAAATTTGATATAAATGATCATATACAAGGTATATAAACTTCGTTTCCAAAATCAGGTTCCATTCTTGTTTTATGTTATCATTAGCTTAATAAAATCAAGACGAAAGAGACTCTTGTTTTCCCGGTTTTTCTCTGTGTACGAACCGCTAAAGAACAACCCCCACTGCGTGCGATCTGATGGATGTTTTGGAATTGTTTGGATTCGGAAATTTTGTTTACCGCGGCGAGCGGGGGCCCTCATCAATCGTTGCCTGAACTGCAGTTCCAGAAGGTTTGTTTACCGTTGAGGATAAACATTTGGATGGGAAAGGACACAAAGGAGCTGCTGAGGAGCGGAGGAGCACTGGTGCTCTTCACCTGTAAATCAAGGCAGCTAATTATCAATCGAAATCGGAAGATCGATCGGCCGAATGTTCCGTCTTCCTAGAGGGGGATATCTACGCAGTTCTACAGTCAAGAGTCTAGACAATGGCCAGGCCTGCATAGGTATATAGATCGCCATAGATATAGTCATATAGGAAGCCACTCACTCGCTTGTTCCCGGCAACTATTTCCCGGCCCGCACAGAAGCATCTCATTGCCAATGCAAACATTGCTCACGTAAATGTCAAAATATCAAAAGAAATAATAATATTAATTTAATAAGTGCTAGGCGGTGCGCTGAGGCTCGTTCGGGGGGTCTCTTGTGTCGAAAAATCGGAAAATGGGAAAGCGTTCTGACTTCTGCTCTGCATTCACGCGAATCTGGCGACCCGATCTCACACCCAGGCATAGTTATGCACGACCAAGGTGTGTGCTGCCACTCTATTGTGTAATCGCAAAGGTGAACCAGGGAAAGTCCGCCACTTTCCCGGAAAACCTACGTCCATTTCATTCACTGTTTTGCCAACTCACCCCACGCAATTCGAATAGTTTTTGTTTTATATTCTTGGGGGAACAGATCCGATCCGATTAGGTCGTCGTTCGTTGCTCTATCTCGCTCTCTACGGATGATTCAGTCGCCGATGGGGATCAATAATATATCACACACACACACACACACTGTAGTGGCGCGTTCCACGAATTTCATCACCCGAGAAAAGAGGGATATGTGGCGATGTTTTGGAATCCGCAAAGATCCTCACTAATTGTCAGACCGATGGGAACAGTCGCACGGACGGACTCCGAGCGCTAAAAAGGCGGACGAGCGCACGCAGCGAGATCCCAGGAAGAACTGAGCGTTCTTCGCCGGACCACTTACAGTTTTTACATCTTGCTCGGCGGCCACCTCTTGCGCTGCCTCTGCCTCCGTCCTCGTCTTCGGTTCCGTCTCCGTCTCCGGCTGCGTCCACGTCTCTGCTGCCACTCTGCACACTGCGAGAAAATTCTATTAACGTACGTTTTCCTCAGGCTGAGACACAATATCACACAATATTTGGAGTAGGAAGCTTTAAACAACTGATTATAGAGGTGTGTGGGAGGAAGAAAATGTTTATTCAGTTGAAACAAAGGGAATATAAAATCAATTTTGAATATTAGTATACATATTCCTCGTGTTCTTTGATTTTTCCACAAGAAAACCTTAATGACAAGATAGGAGTTACTGTTAAATGCCACCAAAAAGAGCCTAAGTATTTTTATGCTCTCGCTGGGTATTATAATCTTAGTCAGAAGCTTGTAAGGCAATGAAGAAGTCATTTCCGACCCTATAAATATAAATATTTGAAGCAATTACCACCCCTTTCGCTCTGTGCACCTCCGCATTCACTTCGAGGAGGTGACGAAGCTACTCTGCGCAGACCCAAAACGGCGGAACGACGTGGACGACAGCCAGCAGCTGTTGTTGGCCGCTCTTCCCTAGGATCGCCGTGAATCGTACGGGAGATCGCATCGAACCCAACTCCAAGAACGAATCACGACGCTGACTGCGACTGAGGCAGCACAGTGGCAGCGACGGTGTGTCGGCGATTGGAACAAGTGTGTGCGGTTTAAAAATAAATCGAAATAATGTTTTCATTATGCTGCCTGCTCCCCTCTCGGCGCAGCTCTGGCTGCATAACCGAAAGGGAAAACTGTTCGCTCTGCGTAATGCTTATGCTAATGCTGGTGCCGGAATGGTGATGATGATCCTCCGCTGCTGGCTGGCAGGACCACTGCGCAGAATTCCTCTAACGATCCGCATTCAGTGTCAAAAGCCTCACACATAGGCACACGCACAGCAGGGGATGAGAAAATAGAGATGCAGTATTAAATCAGAAATAATTACAAGCGTGGAATCTTACTTCAGTAAGCCAAAGTTTACACATACCCTTGAGAGAAAAGTTTTAGAAACAAAAAAATGATTACTTTGATTACTTTACTGTAACATTTGAACATATTTCATTATTTCAGAATTTCCTATTTAAATTGATAAATATTAATAGACTTTAATTACAATTCCGCTGTTTTTGAATATACATTTAAACTAATTTCAATGATCAACTATATAAAATAAGTTATAGTACAAGCAATTGCATCGTATTTCCAGGTTAAGCTCGAAATTGAAAGCTTGTTGGAAGTGGACAGCTTCCCTCTCTTGCCTACAAGCCGAAGCATCGCCGGCTTCCATCATAGAGCGACCTCTCCCGAAGCTTCTCCCGCTAATCATTCCAAATCAGTTCTTCGCGCAGGTAGGTCGGTGAAAAAAAGTTAAAAATTACGACGCAATAGTAAAGACAGGGGCCAAAAGTGTAAATGAAATTAAAGTGAAGTGAAAAATATTAGTGAAGTTATGAAAAGGCTAAGAACAGCCTCTGTTGTGCTTTATTTTTCTTTTATTTTTTACAGTGCCAAGATTGATTTTTATTTTAATTTTTTTTTTTAATTTTTTATATGTGAAAATGAAAAAAGAAATTGTAATAAATTAAGAGTATAGTGAAAAGTGTTACTTAGTTAGCCCCCTAACCTAGCCCCGGCCCCTGTCACGGTTTTTTACATATCGAATATTAGTGCGTAGTTTCGTTTTATATGGCAAAGACAATGATTCTTCAATTAAGAAGGGTTTTTGTTGTATGTTGTCCACTAATTCACCGTTGGCATCGATCTGCAGCCACAACTAATGTAAAGGGGTGAGTGAAACAAAAGTTTTTTTTCTTGCTCTTATCTTTGTCTTCCTATGCCATTGCAAGCCAATTTTTCTCCCCTTTTTCGCCTATAAATCTGTTTCTTATCAACCTGTAAAGTGGAACCTAAGAGCGGCCGAGCCGTTTTAAGAATATGATCCACTCTTGTGGCTACTAATTTTAAAAGTTCGAAAGGTGTAAAGCTCCTTTGTTTACCTTTTTTTCTGGGGAATTTGTGAATTTAAAATAAGCCAGCAAAACCTAATGAATTCTGGCTTTAATAATTATCTATTTTAGCTACTACATATACTTAGCCCTACTTACCCCTTGCAGGGTATTATTATTATACAAACTTCTGCATGCGTAAGTTGTCTTCTTCCCTTATTTAAAATAATATTATATTTATAAACGCAAAACTAAGCCAAAAATGCATTAATTTTAATTCGGAAAGCGTTCCTATGTTAGTTACCAATTTTTACCCGGCATTAGCTACATTTTTATATGAAATTTTTCGACAAATCAAAATTTAAAAATTGTGTAACTAAGCCAAAAACGCATTAATTTCAATTCGGAAAGCGGCCGTATGCTAATTTTTAGCAGGTTAACAAAACTGCATACTCAATTTAAAATGTGAATTTTTGGCCGATTTTTGCAAATTTTCATGATGTAACCCCTTTCCTTTTTTCCGAAAAATGGGAAATTTCGGAAAAAATTTTTTTCGGTCGGAGATGGCTTAAAAGATTCGCCTGTTGATGCTGATCAAGAATATATATGATTTATAGGGTCGGAAATGACTCCTTCCAGAGTTATAAGCTTCTGACTGAATTCATGCAACAAGCGTAATGTTAAGGCGAAAAAAAAGAAGAAAAACCATTTTGAATTTGCATCTACCATATTTTTAGTAGATATTTATCTTTATTTTTATAGCAAAATTTTTAAAGAAACCAAATTTTTAAAAACTCATAACTACGGCAAAAAGGCATTAATTTCAATTCGGAAAGCTTTCTTGTGCTAGTTTTCATTAGGTTAACAAATCTGCATACTCAATTTATAGTGTAGAAAAATGATATTTTGTAAAATTTTAACAATATATATCCCCTTATAAAAATTGGGAAAAATGGCAACAAATTTTTTCCTCTTCTGCATGCCCGTTGATGCTGATCAAGAATATATATATTATAGGTCTGGAAATTACTCCTTCGCGACGTAAATAGCTTTTAAGTAAAATTATATTTATATTATTTACGGAGTGCTAATTAAATGACCGCCATTGTACATTTTCTGCCCCATGTGGAATTGAGTTTTTCGCCCTCGCCCCATGCTGATTTTGCCTAGAAAATGTGATGTAGAGAGAAGGAGAGCCGAATTCTCCCGCTTCGTGGTTGTGTAGTTTCTTCTTCGTCTTGTGGACCTCCCTCCTCCCTGTCTTCTTCTTTTTGGGATTCTTCTCGGGTTTTCCTCCGACTTTTCCGCCCGTTGGCTCTGGCTCGTTCCTCGAGAGTGACGCAGTCGCTTGCAATTTGGCATTTCGCTCGCTGGCGCAAGTACTTGTTGCGGGCATCCAAAATAGACTCCTCGCTCACCTGTGCCGCCGACCTGCTCCTCCTCCGCAGATCCCCCAATTTTCATCTCTCTCCCCTGAGCCGCCAGTCGCCCTCTCTCTTGGCGATATTTGGCCTTTGAAAGGCCCCAAAAAACTGATTCCTCACAGGTGTTGTCGTCGCTTCTGCGTTTCCACTTTTCTTTCGGCATTTCATTTTTCGGCTTTTCAGGCGTAATGAACTTAATGTCGCCCCTTTTGGGGATCTCGGCAGATGTATTGGGTGCTAACGTATTTTCTATATATTCGATATGATTTATGCGGAGCGCTGGTTCTGTTGGTTCTGGTTCGAATTGGTTTTTGATGTCTTACAAAAGATATTCCCAGATCGGGGCGGGGATTGTAATGGGTGTATTTTTAAGACCGCCCTACCCCATTCACCCTCTCCCGACTAATCGGTTTTTTAGTGCTTCCCCTTGCTTTCTTTATGCCTCGGGTTTTCGCACTTCTCGGGCGCATTTTCACACTCGCCCACAGCCCACGCACCAGCAGCAGCTCCGAAGACAAAGGAAAATCGGTGGGCTTTGTCTGGCGCCAACATGGAAATGCAATTTGAATGGTAAGGTCAGGACGGGATGCCATGCATCACGGCATCACGGCGGAGAGCTTTGGACCAGGGGTGACATGTGCTAAAGACATCTTGTGGCAGCAGCAGCCGCGACTTTAATCACGGTAATTAATAAGAGAGAAAAAAGGAGCCAGAAGGCACAAAGAAAGTGTCACGGCAAATCGCAGCGGATCAGCTTGGATCATTGGGTGTCACAGTAGTCCCAGTGCCACAGCAGTCCCGGAGCCAGTGCCTGTCTTCACCCCCTCCAAGAAGCAGGCTCCACTCGGCCTCACCCGGAGCGAGCGTCGTCGCGACTGGCGGCCATAAATCTATTTTCGTCCTGTTTCCAGCCGGGTCTGCCCCTCCTGCTCGATGTACTCTTGCTCACTTGCTGCGCAATTGCGTGGTCCGATCGCCGATCTGCAGTCTCCCATACAGTGGCTCCTGCCCCACCTCTACACTGACAGAAAGTGGACATTAATCAGGTCCCGAACCTCAAGATTTTTGCATTATTTAAGACCAAAATTGATTGTCCTTTATTGCAACACTTTTGATGTGAAATTTACGCAGTTAAATCTGTCGGTCCCATTATATTTTAACGAATTAATTTCAAGATGGAATGCATAATAGCTAAAATATGTAATCCATTTCTCGGATATACGAAATTAATGGGGTATTTACAAATATTTAATGAGCTCAGCTAAGGGGTTGCATATGATTTCCCATAAATTTGTGGTACCCAAACTCTTTTTCTTCAGTGCATGACAGTTTATTAAGTACCCCTGGATCTTTATTTTTAACTGCTCCCGTCAACATCGGGTGGTTCTTGGGATCGTATTCTTTGCGTAGGTAAAATTAAGTATGTAATGTGGCCACCGTCTGAATCTGGTGAATCTCCAAGTAAATTTTATCCACATACGTGAATTCCAGGCGAAGACATATTCAAGGCGATAAGTAATCGGAATCCAAATTAATTTGAAATTCACTAGGAAACAAAGAAAATGCAGGCGAAGCACCAATTCCCCCAAATTATAGAAGCTAGAAAGTTAAATTCAGATCAATCGATCCGAGATCTCCTCGTAACTCGAGTGACCATAGTTTATGTGAAGCAGGGCCTTCAGCACCCAATTTAGCATCCCTGGTCGCATCCTGTTTACAGGAATTTCTCGGGCAACTCAAGGGTTCAAGCGGATGGATGTGGATGTAGATGGAGTGGCATCTGACTTTAGCGAGTCTGGGAGGGGGAGACCAGGCCGGATATGTGAGTAATTCCTGGGCGCGGAGTCATAAGAATCAGAGCTGCCGCCGAAGTTTGGATCGTGCCGTGCCGTGGCAAGATCATAAAGTTATATTTATACCGGTCCGATTGGGGGAGCTCTAGCTACGGGAAGTTCAAACTCCAGATCCCGATCCTCGTCGGTGCCAAGTGCAGCAGCGAGCTAGAGCGATTCCGTAGGTGGCTGCCACTTTGCAAGGCCCAAAAGGGAGAATCTCGCTCCCAACGGAGGTGGTGCTGGGGCTTGGCATGTGCCGCCACTTGAATCAGTGGCTGTTTATTGACGGGAGCAGGGAGAAGATGGGTAGAACTGATGGTGAGGAGGGAAGAGGTGCCGGGCCACTGCCATGTGCAATGGCAGCGAAACATCAACCGTGTCAAAATTCAAAGAAACAAAAGCGGAAATGTTTTTGTTTTCCTTATTTTCAACAGCGGCCGCCGCCTCACATGGGGAAAACTAAAACAGCCAGAGAGTGGTAATGGAAAGCTGATTTGGTCAATGAACTTTTCCTAGTTTTCCCCTCCGTCTATAATTGGCTGAGGCCGCGGAGCTGAATTGAATTATTAACCTGAGGAAAGAATCGGTGCCGCAATTATTACAATTAATTACACAAGTGGCTGCATTGAATAATATTTACTAAATTTTGACTTTGATATTATTCATCCCCTGTATTACCTATTAAAAGCAAATTAGGTTTTTATTTATTAGACTATTTCCGTTTGCATTAATTTATTTGATTTTAATTTTTAAACTCATAATGGTGTTTCACATTATTTTATGTTTTATCCCTAAATACCTGGCCCGTTCGTATTTCTATGTAATTTCCGTTATTCCCCTTTATGTATTACATCAGCCTTGGAGTTTGATGAATAATATAAAAATGATGTCATTAATTATATGTAACTGCCGTGAAGTTTGAAAACCCGCCCAACTGCCGATTAATTCATTTATCGAACTAGTAGTTGACATTGCCAGATTAAACCCTTTAGTGTGCCCAGCTGCCGCGGCGGCCGACATTTTCCTGACATTTTTAAATAAGCCTAATCTGGCAACACTGGAGCCAAGCTCAAGAGAAAAATGAAATTTCGCTGCTAAATTTTCGCGAAAAACGCCGGGAAAGGTTAGAAAACGGAGCAAAAATATTACCGAAACATGCAATACTAGTGTGGGCACCCAACACACACAAGCAGCGTACCGGAAAAGCTGCGAAAATAGCGAGGAGCACAGCCCCAGCGACTAAACATGGCGCCCACCCCCTTGCCTTTGCCCCTGCCCCTGGAGCAGATGCCCGGCGTCGGCGGCGGTGGAGGCGGCTATTTGCCCGCAGGACAGGTAAATACTTCTGAAAATTCACAAAGCATTAGACGTTCCATGACATGCATCTTTGCAGGAGGGCGGCCCGCGAATCAACACGATGTCTTTGTCAGTGCTGATCGATTTCATCATCCAGCGCACCTACCACGAACTCACCGTGTTGGCAGAGCTGTAAGTGATACATCTTTCGTGGTGGTGGTGGTGGCTCTCCTATCTGACTCGCGTTTCCCTTTCAGCTTACCCCGCAAAACGGACATGGAGCGCAAGGTAGAAATCTACAACTATGCGGCTCGCACCCGCCATCTGTTTACACGCTTGAACGCCCTGGTCAAATGGGGCAACTCGGTGTCAAAGGTGGATAAGTCGTCGCAGATCATGAGCTTCCTGGACAAGCAAAACATGCTGTTCGTGGAGACTGCAGACATGCTGGCACGCATGTCGCGTGAGACTCTGGTCCGCGCCCGTTTACCCAACTTCCATATCCCGGCTGCCGTCGAAGTGTTGACCACTGGCACCTACAACCGGCTGCCCACCTGCATCCGGGAGCGTATAGTGCCGGCGGATGCCATTACGCCCGCGGAGAAGCGGCAGACGCTGCTGCGACTGAACCAGGTGATCCAGCATCGACTGGTCACAGGTAAACTTCTGCCCCAAATGCGAGAGTTCCGCATTAAGAACGGACGCGTCACCTTTGAGGTAAAGCACGAATTCAGCGTGGCCCTCACGGTGATGGGCGACAGCCCCACTGTGCCCTGGCGACTGTTGGACATCGATGTGCTTGTTGAGGATAAAGAGACTGGCGGTAAGTACCCAGCCTCTAGTTGCTCGGCTTGTACAATTTGTTTTATCCCATTTTGCAGATGGAAAGTCGCTGGTGCATCCGTTGCAGGTGAACTACATCCACCAGCTGATCCAGGCACGGCTCGTGGAGAACCCCAATGCGTTGAGCGAGGTGTACAATTGTCTGCACTACTTTTGCCAGTCTCTACAGCTGGAGGTTTTGTACACGCAGACACTGCGTCTTAATTACGAGCGATTGGATGACAACAACATCACCCCTGAGGAGTATATACCGGGCGTGAAACTCACCGTCTCCTATTGGCGGGACCTCAAGTCGGAACTGGGCTATCGCCTGACTGTTCAGTCCGATCCCAGCGAGATTGGACGCCCGTTGGCCGTGGTCCATGTACCCTCTCTGGGTGCGAAGGAGTCAGCCGAAGTGGCTGATAGGGCTGTGCGCTCAGAGCATCTCTCCATGGAACGGCTCATTGTGCACACGGTCTACATCCGATCTGTGTCACGACTGAGCGACCTCAAGCTGGAGTTCCAGGCCTTCCTCAAGGACGTTGACTGTGAGTGTAAATGTTGGAAGTCTATTCCGCAGAGGTAACCATTGATCATGTTAAACTTGTTCTCCTGCAGTTAATCTCCAAGGAACCCCCGCCATCCTGACCGTTCCTGTTCTCTCGCCCTGCCTGCGGGCGGAGCAGATCCACATAACCATCGACACCCACACGGGCATGTTCCGCTGCCATGTGCCTAAGCATTTGGATTGCCCGATTACCGAGGAAATGCAGGACTGCCTCAACGGAGATCGCGGCAAGCTACCCGCTCTGCTCTCGGAACTGCGCTTCTGGATCACCCATCGCCGGTGCGAAAAGACACTGCAGCACCTGCCGGCAACAGCCACCGAGACACTGCCCTTCCTCGCCCAACCAGAGCAGGAACTTCTGCAGCAGGGTAGGCATAAGATCTACGTCAAGTTGCACCGGCATCCCAACATCGTACTGGTAACTATAAGAGATACAACGTTGCGTGCATTGCAGACTAACCAAACTTGTTCCCCTTCAGGTGGTTCAGCTCAAGGAAAAGACAACGATGCCTAACGAAATGGAGTACACCTTCCACCTGGGCTTCGTGGCCTACCAAAAGGACGAGGCTGATGTGATTGACGACTCTGCTAAGCAGCTCGTGTCCGTGGTTTCCCAGCCGCCCTCTGACATTCCCAAGTGCTACACCAAGCTTATGCGGCTCATTGAGTTCGATACCTTCGTGGCCACGCATGGACCTGGCACCGAAGTCGATGGTGAGCTTAAGTGTGCGTCACGGTTCGGTTATGAAATAGCCTTAAATTATTTTCCCTTCAGCGGAGGTTTCCCCCCACAAACGCAAATCGAACGGGGATCTGCTGGCGCCGCCGGCTAAGCAGCAGAAGACCATCTTTCCCGCCTACTTTATTCCGGAGCTAGCCCATGTGGTGGCCATGTGTGACGAGAAGATTCCCTTCATGAACCTTGCGCAGACGCTGTCCAAGCACAACATCCCTCACAGCGGCCTGCAGGTTGAGGCCAATGCCACGTCGCTGGTCCTCAAGATTCTGGCGTTGCCGCAGCCAGGCAAGACGGTCTTTGCCACCGGCCAGGCGCAGCAACAGCAGCAGCAGCAAGGCGGAGCACAAGGAGAAATGAAGGCAAGCGGCTCCTCCGGACTGCCCAAGATCGAGCCGCATGTCTGGGACGATCTTATGCGCCGCGTTCTCTCCATCTCTGTGCGATCGCAGACAAACAAGAACAGCCAGGTGCGCATCTGGGTGGTGGAGTTCGTCTTCTACAGCACACCGCTGCAGAGCAGCCACCAGAAGGAGCAGGGCAGCCGGCGCACTGTCTACCTTACCTATGAGCAGGCCAACCACGATTTCTCCAAGACGGTCGAGGATCTGCTGAACGACTGGTCCAAGATCGTCTACCTGTACACGCTGGTTCACGACTTTGCCGAGCAGCTGCGCAATAGTGAGTTTAATCCAATTTCTTGAAAAACTGTACTGATTTCAGTTTTCTCCTTTAAGAACGCCTCTCGCTATGCGACATGCTGGTGGTCAAGTCGTACAGCTACATGAACCTGCTGCTGGGCTACGGACCCAAGAAGGAGGTCAGCTGTAATATATACTGGTCGGTGCAGTCGCACGGCTTCCGTCTGACCTTTGTGGGCGGCATGTCAGCCGTGAACGCGCATTCCATGATGCGGGACCAGCTCGCGCAGCACCTCAACCAGCAGCACAGCCTCACCCAGATCGCCCAGATACTTCACGAAACATACAGCCCGATGAGCTCCATTGCCAAGCTGCCTGTGCTTCCGTTCTTGGGTATACCGGTAAGTCCCGTCTCAAAGCTGCGGCGAGAGCCCATCCTTATCTGAATCTCTGCTTTTAGCGCCCCCAGGTCCCCGTGCTATCTTTCTGCATGCTTGCTCAATCCCCCTGCTTGATGAGGCTCACCTACCAGGCCGTGTACTGCCTGGAGCTGCGCTTTCGGGCCAACAGACTTGTGTCCATCCGCGACGGAGCAAGCAGTCGCTTCGAACGCAACGTGGTAGAGGAATTTACTCCAATCCAAGGCCTCAAGGCTTTCCTCTCCAAGTACGTGGACGAGTCGGCGGCGTACAGAGGACGTGCTCCCCACGAGGACGACAACCCACTGTCGCCGATGGGTCTGGAGGACAATTTCGGTGGTCCAAGCAGTGTGACGGGCGTCAGTGCTGGCGGGTCATCTCCGTTCCTGAGCACCGGGATGCGCGGACCGCAATCACCGCGGGACAGTGGGCTGAGATTCCCCGCACCGCACACACCGCCGTCCAGCTCCAATCCGCACACACCGGCTAGTCCTCATCCGAGTGCAGGAGGTGCTGGAGGTGGAAGCGGAGCCCAGGGCCATGGCAACTTTAACCTGACGTCTCCGCCAGCACCGCATATGCCACATCCGTCGCCGAGCGGCCTGATGCCCTCGTCGCCACTGAATCCCCAGCCCAGCCCGCACATGGTGCATAGTCCTGGACCGAATACCCTCTACATGCAGAGCCATCAGGACTCCCCCTTCACGGCCATGTCGCCGGCGAATAACAACTGGCCCGGCTCCCCCAGCATGCCGCGCCCCTCTCCCCGACCCGGACAGAGTCCAGAGCACAAGAGCACTGGGGGCGGAAGTGGAGCTGGAGGAGCAGCCGGCGTGGTGGACAGAGGAGTAGCTCGAGGCACCCTCAATCGCCCCTGGGCCGGGGCTGTTCCCACTTTGCTGACCCACGAGGCCCTGGAGACGCTGTGTCGACCCAGTCCGCATCCTAACAAGGACATCAACGTGCCGGACATGAGTCCACTGGAGCGTTTCCTGGGATGCGTATACATGCGGAGGCAGCTTCACCGGAATATCCAGAGCGAGGAAACCTTGACGGCGCTTAACAGCACGGAGCCCGGCGTGGTGCTGTTCAAGGTGGATGGTCTGCAGTGCCAGGTGGTTCTGAACCAGATGCACATGCAGACGCTGCACTTGAAGATATCGCAGCTACCTCCGATGCCCGATAAGCTGCCGCCGCCCTTCCAGCTCAGCCCGGACGACCTACTTGTGATCGAGCAGTACTTCGACACCCGGGTGGCTTCACCGCCCTACAGGCCCAACTCGCTGCACAGCATCTGCCGGCTGCTGAATCTGCCCGCCCAGGTTCTCAAGGACTTTGTGCAGATTATGCGACTGGAACTGAAGCCGGAGCTAGGCGGCGACCAGCTCAAGTGGACGGTGCAGATGTGCATGCGCATGCCGCCCTCGGCCGTACCCATTGTGCCCTGTGGCAATGCCTGCGTGGTCCTGGGACGCATGAAAATCCTGTTCTTCCTGCAGATCACACGGATTCCCTACGGCGCCGGAGTGGGCGTGGCCAAGGACTGGAAGGACAGCCCCTCGCTGGTGCTGCCCATCGTCTACGACATACAGACGAACGTCACTCAGATGGCGGAGCGCAACGGGCAGGTGAACTCGCCCACTATGACCGCCGCAAGCACCCTGCTCCGTCGCTTCGCCGAGTTTAATGCCCAGCAGAATCAGTGCACGCTATTTCCGGCCATCTCGGATCTTCTCACGAACCTCCAGTTGGCCACCGAGATGCCCCAGCCACCTCCCAACCAATCCATCGGACCACCAGTGGGTGTAGGCGTCGGAGTAGGAGTGGGCGTCGGCGTGGTGGGCTCTAGCCCGAATCCAATGATGCCCATGCAACAGCTCCAGCCGCAGCAAGTGGGTCCCCAGGGACCGGTGGGCCCCGGTGTCTACCCGCAGATGGGCCCCAATCCGGGAGGTCCTCAGTGATGAAGGCGCAAGCGCCGCGCCTCCTCGCAGCAGCCGTGAGCTAAGCAGAGGCAACCCGGAACGGCGAACGATTATTAATCCGATGTTGTATGGAAGTTAAGAGCAGCATGGGATACCCTAAACGCTGTGGTGAGTCGATTTTTGGCGAATCGAAGCCAGCTCTCTACAATGAGAAGCTTGCTTCGAAGCCCCATTTTTTAAACCCTTTTTACAAAGCGAACCACTCTAGGATACTCAAAAATAATTAAAAAGAAAGTTAAACGCATGGAAATGTCTTAAACGCGTTGAAAGTTGTAAAAGTTACTTCGGTACAGTAAAAGATTAAATTTCAATAATCCATGGAAACAAAATAATTAAAGTAAATAAAATAACTCAATAACTTGGAGGTTTCCCAATGGGATTTTGTCAAAATGCAATTTCTTTCAAAGATCAGGTGCTACGTATATACATTTTATAGTGCCGTACCACCTGAAATAATTGCACATCCACGATTAGAGATTATTAAGTAAACAGCGCGGCTAAGTATGTAATAAAGAGACTAACTTTAGAATTAACTGTACTTGTAAATGTGAGTCATACTAATTTGTTTCTATCACATGGTTCGATTGCAGCTGCGCCGTGCTCCGGAGGAGTTCCGAAGGCAGCGGACGCCTTGCAAATGCGTTGTGACTATATTGCACCGAGGTTAGTTCGTGTTGTCTAGCTATTAATCTATATACTCCCACTGGTATTTGGCATAATTGCTGGTCGAGCGTTCGCTCACTGCTGGGCTGCAATCTGAGTGCTGTCCATTTGGCTGGTCAGCTCGGAGATACCCTCCTCCTCCTCGGAGATGAGGTCTACCCAGTAGCGGAGCTTCTTGCTGCGTAGGTAGCTGGCGGAGTTGTCAAAGACCACCGTGTCTGTGGGAATTATAATGATTAATCAATGAGATACTCGACGAACAACCGGGGGTACTCACAGGTGGTGTTGGGTCTCGTGGAGATGTAGCCGATCTCGTCCATCTCGTTGGAGTAGACTGTGCCCAGAGGCACTTCGCTACGCTTCTCGCCTGTCTGCTCGTCCACGCTGTAGATGCCGAACTTGATGTCGTAGTCGATGGTGCGGAACTCCCACGAGAGGATTCTCTGCTCCTCCTGGTTCACCTTGAAGTGCAGCTTTAGCTTGTCGCCTTTGGGTACCTGTGTCTCCACAAAGTCCCTGTCGCTTTGTTGGCTGCTCTGGTCGATGTACAGCTCCTCCGGGAGCTTGCCACCCCAAACCATCAGGGCCTTGCACTGGGGGTCTCCGTTCCTGTCCACCATGTCGCCGCCCCAGGCTTTTGGGAACGCCTTCCTATCCACGTGGGAGAAGAGCTGCTGCTGCCAGCGGTCCACGCCGGACTTGTAGATGACGATCTTGCTGGTGGTGTTCTCGTCGAGGAACTTCTTCACAATGTTGAATGCCACCGAGAAGAGCTTTGGTGCGTTGATAATGTAGCACATCTTGAGCAGCTCCGGGAAGTTGGCCTCGTACTGCTTGACCGTAGAGATCACGCACTCGGCTGCTGGTCGCCAGGCGTACTGCTTCAGGTTCACGTCCTGCATGTCGAAGAACACTACCAGCTGGCGGGCCCTCCAGCCGTGCTTCTGGCTCTGGTCGTAGGCGATCTTCATGAAGCGCTCAAGAAGCAGCACCAGGTATTTTTGAAACTCAAATCGGGTGACGCAGTGCATCATGCCCCAGATGTCGAAGTTTGCAAAGGGGCAGACCAGCACTGCAACAGGAAAAGAGGGTAAGGCCTGAGGACTGGTAAAAGCCAGAGATTTCGAACCCACCTGGCGATCCCTCCTTGTCATAGCCCATTAGCCCATAGGGTAGGTATTCCTGCAGAGCTTTGGGAGGATCCCACTTCTCGATGTTGTCCACATTCCACATGGCGCGGGTCTTCAAGCTCTGCAAAGATCGCGTTAGGTATTATAGGGATACGGACTTCAACGGCATCGCCCCACTTACGGCTCTCAGCATTTTCTCCGCCGCATCCAGGTTCCATTTACGAGCTGTTTCAAGGCATTACGATTACGATTACGATTATCTTTGACCACTCACGGAAACTACTTACCCCGCAGCCAGCGCACCAGGAAGTAGTCATCGTGCGTTCCAACCAGAGCATCGTCCATCTGCTTGCGGAACTGTAAACAAATGTTTATACATATGTTATAATAAATAAATAATAACAAATATATAATTTGTATGCAATATCAAAGTTTCATTTCAGATGGTGGTCGAGTGGAAGAGAGACAGACATCAAAAAACCTTATACGAGGATTACTGTTTCCAAAAATGCTATTTACCACTACTAATCTCTTAAATTCTGTATTTTTGACGTAGTTATAAGTTTTTTAAAATTTGGTTTCTTTAAAAATTTTGCTATAAATATAAAGATAAATATCTACTAAAAATATGGTATTATAATTCAGTCAGAAGCTTAAAACTCTGGAAGGATTCTTGATCATCATCAACAGGCGAATCTTTTAAGCCATCTCCGGCCGAAAAAATTTTTTTTCAGAAATTTCCCATTTTTGTAAAAAAGGAAAGGGGTTACATTATGAAAATTTGCAAAAATCGGCCAAAAATTCACATTTTAAATGGAGTATGCAGTTTTGTCAACCTGCTAAAAATTAGCATACGGCCGCTTTCCGAATTGAAATTAATGCGTTTTTGGCTTAGTTATGAAATTTTTAAATTTTCATTTGTCGAAAAATTTCATATAAAAATATTGTTAATATCGGTTTAAAAATGGTAATGGACCTTCAGTCAGAAGCCTAAAAGAAAGTGAAGGAGTCATTTCCGACCCTATAAATCATATATATTCTTGATCAGCATCAACAGGCGAATCTTTTAAGCCATCTCCGACCGAAGAAAATTTTTTCCGAAATTTTCCATTTTTCGGAAAAAAGGAAAGGGGTTACATCATGAAAATTTGCAAAAATCGGCCAAAAATTCACATTTTAAATGGAGTATGCAGTTTTGTCAACCTGCTAAAAATTAGCATACGGCCGCTTTCCGAATTGAAATTAATGCGTTTTTGGCTTAGTTATGAAATTTTTACATTTTGATTTGTCGAAAAATTTCATATAAAAATATTGTTAATATCGGTTTAAAAATGGTAATGGACCTTCAGTCAGAAGCCTAAAAGAAAGTGAAGGAGTCATTTCCGACCCTATAAATCATATATATTCTTGATCAGCATCAACAGGCGAATCTTTTAAGCCATCTCCGACCGAAAAAAAATGTTTTCCGAAATTTCCCATTTTTCGGAAAAAAGGAAAGGGGTTACATCATGAAAATTTGCAAAAATCGGCCAAAAATTCACATTTTAAATGGAGTATGCAGTTTTGTCAACCTGCTAAAAATTAGCATACGGCCGCTTTCCGAATTGAAATTAAGCGTTTTTGGCTTAGTTATGAAATTTTTAAATTTTGATTTGTCGAAAAATTTCATATAAAAATATTGTTAATATCGGTTTAAAAATGGTAATGGACCTTCAGTCAGAAGCCTAAAAGAAAGTGAAGGAGTCATTTCCGACCCTATAAATCATATATATTCTTGATCAGCATCAACAGGCGAATCTTTTAAGCCATCTCCGACCGAAGAAAATTTTTCCGAAATTTTCCATTTTTCGGAAAAAAGGAAAGGGTTACATCATGAAAATTTGCAAAAATCGGCCAAAAATTCACATTTTAAATGGAGTATGCAGTTTTGTCAACCTGCTAAAAATTAGCATACGGCCGCTTTCCGAATTGAAATTAATGCGTTTTTAGCTTAGTTATGAAATTTTTACATTTTGATTTGTCGAAAAATTTCATATAAAAATATTGTTAATATCGGTTTAAAAATGGTAATGGACCTTCAGTCAGAAGCCTAAAAGAAAGTGAAGGAGTCATTTCCGACCCTATAAATCATATATATTCTTGATCAGCATCAACAGGCGAATCTTTTAAGCCATCTCCGACCGAAAAAAATGTTTTCCGAAATTTCCCATTTTTCGGAAAAAAGGAAAGGGGTTACATCATGAAAATTTGCAAAAATCGGCCAAAAATTCACATTTTAAATGGAGTATGCAGTTTTGTCAACCTGCTAAAAATTAGCATACGGCCGCTTTCCGAATTGAAATTAATGCGTTTTTGGCTTAGTTATGAAATTTTTACATTTTGATTTGTCGAAAAATTTCATATAAAAATATTGTTAATATCGGTTTAAAAATGGTAATGGACCTTCAGTCAGAAGCCTAAAGAAAGTGAAGGAGTCATTTCCGACCCTATAAATCATATATATTCTTGATCAGCATCAACAGGCGAATCTTTTAGGCCATCTCCGACCGAAAAAAATTTTTTTCCGAAATTTCCCATTTTTCGGAAAAAAGGAAAGGGGTTACATCATGAAAATTTGCAAAAATCGGCCAAAAATTCACATTTTAAATGGAGTATGCAGTTTTGTCAACCTGCTAAAAATTAGCATACGGCCGCTTTCCGAATTGAAATTAATGCGTTTTTGGCTTAGTTATGAAATTTTTAAATTTTCATTTGTCGAAAAATTTCATATAAAAATATTGTTAATATCGGTTTAAAAATGGTAATGGACCTTCAGTCAGAAGCCTAAAAGAAAGTGAAGGAGTCATTTCCGACCCTATAAATCATATATATTCTTGATCAGCATCAACAGGCGAATCTTTTAAGCCATCTCCGACCGAAGAAAATTTTTTCCGAAATTTTCCATTTTTCGGAAAAAAGGAAAGGGGTTACATCATGAAAATTTGCAAAAATCGGCCAAAAATTCACATTTTAAATGGAGTATGCAGTTTTGTCAACCTGCTAAAAATTAGCATACGGCCGCTTTCCGAATTGAAATTAATGCGTTTTTGGCTTAGTTATGAAATTTTTACATTTTGATTTGTCGAAAAATTTCATATAAAAATATTGTTAATATCGGTTTAAAAATGGTAATGGACCTTCAGTCAGAAGCCTAAAAGAAAGTGAAGGAGTCATTTCCGACCCTATAAATCATATATATTCTTGATCAGCATCAACAGGCGAATCTTTTAAGCCATCTCCGACCGAAAAAAATGTTTTCCGAAATTTCCCATTTTTCGGAAAAAAGGAAAGGGGTTACATCATGAAAATTTGCAAAAATCGGCCAAAAATTCACATTTTAAATGGAGTATGCAGTTTTGTCAACCTGCTAAAAATTAGCATACGGCCGCTTTCCGAATTGAAATTAAGCGTTTTGGCTTAGTTATGAAATTTTAAATTTGATTTGTCGAAAATTTCATATAAAAATATTGTTAATATCGGTTTAAAAATGGTAATGGACCTTCAGTCAGAAGCCTAAAAGAAAGTGAAGGAGTCATTTCCGACCCTATAAATCATATATATTCTTGATCAGCATCAACAGGCGAATCTTTTAGGCCATCTCCGACCGAAAAAAATTTTTCCGAAATTTCCCATTTTTCGGAAAAAAGGAAAGGGGTTACATCATGAAAATTTGCAAAAATCGGCCAAAAATTCACATTTTAAATGGAGTATGCAGTTTTGTCAACCTGCTAAAAATTAGCATACGGCCGCTTTCCGAATTGAAATTAATGCGTTTTTGGCTTAGTTATGAAATTTTTAAATTTTCATTTGTCGAAAAATTTCATATAAAAATATTGTTAATATCGGTTTAAAAATGGTAATGGACCTTCAGTCAGAAGCCTAAAAGAAAGTGAAGGAGTCATTTCCGACCCTATAAATCATATATATTCTTGATCAGCATCAACAGGCGAATCTTTTAAGCCATCTCCGACCGAAAAAATTTTTTCCGAAATTTCCATTTTTCGGAAAAAAGGAAAGGGGTTACATCATGAAAATTTGCAAAAATCGGCCAAAAATTCACATTTTAAATGGAGTATGCAGTTTTGTCAACCTGCTAAAAATTAGCATACGGCCGCTTTCCGAATTGAAATTAATGCGTTTTTGGCTTAGTTATGAAATTTTTACATTTTGATTTGTCGAAAAATTTCATATAAAAATATTGTTAATATCGGTTTAAAAATGGTAATGGACCTTCAGTCAGAAGCCTAAAGAAAGTGAAGGAGTCATTTCCGACCCTATAAATCATATATATTCTTGATCAGCATCAACAGGCGAATCTTTTAAGCCATCTCCGACCGAAGAAAATTTTTTCCGAAATTTTCCATTTTTCGGAAAAAAGGAAAGGGGTTACATCATGAAAATTTGCAAAAATCGGCCAAAAATTCACATTTTAAATGGAGTATGCAGTTTTGTCAACCTGCTAAAAATTAGCATACGGCCGCTTTCCGAATTGAAATTAATGCGTTTTTGGCTTAGTTATGAAATTTTTACATTTTGATTGTCGAAAAATTTCATATAAAATATTGTTAATATCGGTTTAAAATGGTAATGGACCTTCAGTCAGAAGCCTAAAAGAAAGTGAAGGAGTCATTTCCGACCCTATAAATCATATATATTCTTGATCAGCATCAACAGGCGAATCTTTTAAGCCATCTCCGACCGAAAAAAATGTTTTCCGAAATTTCCCATTTTTCGGAAAAAAGGAAAGGGGTTACATCATGAAAATTTGCAAAATCGGCCAAAAATTCACATTTTAAATGGAGTATGCAGTTTTGTCAACCTGCTAAAAATTAGCATACGGCCGCTTTCCGAATTGAAATTAAGCGTTTTTGGCTTAGTTATGAAATTTTTAAATTTTGATTTGTCGAAAAATTTCATATAAAAATATTGTTAATATCGGTTTAAAAATGGTAATGGACCTTCAGTCAGAAGCCTAAAAGAAAGTGAAGGAGTCATTTCCGACCCTATAAATCATATATATTCTTGATCAGCATCAACAGGCGAATCTTTTAAGCCATCTCCGACCGAAAAAATTTTTTCCGAAATTTCCATTTTTCGGAAAAAAGGAAAGGGGTTACATCATGAAAATTTGCAAAAATCGGCCAAAAATTCACATTTTAAATGGAGTATGCAGTTTTGTCAACCTGCTAAAAATTAGCATACGGCCGCTTTCCGAATTGAAATTAATGCGTTTTAGCTTAGTTATGAAATTTTTACATTTTGATTTGTCGAAAAATTTCATATAAAAATATTGTTAATATCGGTTTAAAAATGGTAATGGACTTCAGTCAGAAGCCTAAAAGAAAGTGAAGGAGTCATTTCCGACCCTA